TTTTATTTTAAAGCTAAAATAAAATTAATAATCAAGCTAGTAATAAATCAACAAGTGTCAAGCTCATGTGAGTGGTTAGGTGAGGACCACTTGGAGAAGGGGGGGACCAAACTTGCTCCCCACTCCCTCTCCCATAACCGGCCACCTCACTCCACACACACTCAAGGACCACTAGCCACATGGCACCCACCCTTGGGCACCAAGGCAGCCAAGGTGGGCTGCCATGTGCTGCTGTCCGTGGCAGCCACGCCCAGCAAGCCCAGCAGGCCCAGCACTCGCATGCGGGCTGCCAGGCGCTGCTGGCCAGCAAGCCTAGCATGCTTGTGCGGGCTGCTGCTGGCCTTGTGCCTTGGCAAGCGCTGCTAGGCAGCAAGCAATGGCCTAGCCATGCTGCTGCTAGCTGTGGCGAGCTGGCGCGCCTAGCGTGCTAGCTGCTGCAGCTTGTTGCGGCATGGCTTGCTAGCCATTGCGCGCACAAGGCTGTGCCTAGCATGCTAACACGCACTAGGCATCGCCTAGCCTTGCGATGCTAGCATGGGTGCGCTAGCACGCACCAGCCAGCCTAGGCTCGGCTTGGTGCGCATGCTAGCCACCATGCTAGGCCATACGCCCTTAGCACTCAGTTTTCTTGGGCATTCTGATGCTAGGGGTATTTTGGTCTTTTGTTGATTTATTACTATTTCTCGTCTCGTCTTTCACTATTTTTCGACTCGACTTCCGACGCTCGGTTTCGACGCTCTAAGCTCGAATTTCCGACGTCTAAATAAATATTACTCGGTCGACTCATTAATTCCTTCCGAATTAATTCGTCGGTTCGGTTTGTTGAATGCTTGGGTGTGACCCGAAGGGTTCAGTCAAGACTAAGCTGTAATATTAATTATTCATTAATATTACTGATCGGAAGCGGCCTCCACCCAGGCATTCCGATCACTTGACCTCACTGAATATATTATGTTTCTAGTAATTCTGAACCCACTAACGGAATAGTACACTTGTTCGAAGGACACCATTCCTTTCACAATGAACTTTGATGGTGCATATTTGTGGGTTCAAGTCGAGGGGTTGCCTGTCTATTATAGTACAATTTCTATTGCAAGCAGGGTCCTCTCGAGAATAGGGCGTGTGCTTTGTTTGGATAGAGACTCTTTGAATCCCCCTGTGAGGGGTCCTTTCAGTGCCAAGTTCTGGTTAAGCCTCAACAGGCCGCTTATCCCGGGTTTTTACTTCGAGTATGAACAAGGAAGCTTTGAATGGGTGGATATTAGGTACGAGGGAGTGTTTGTGATGGGCAGAGTCTGTGGGAAAATAGGACATAAGGAGAAGTTCTGCAAACTGTGCCCTCAGAAGAGAAGTAGGGAGCTTCAAGCGACAATGTACGCGGCGTGTGATAACTTTGCTGAGATCAGAGTTGGTCCGACTTACTTTCCTCTTTATACTAGCAAGGTTATGGGTTTGAAGCGTGTGGAAAGAAATAGGACCTCGAAGCTGAGTTTTATGGAGGTAGATGACTCAAGGGAAAACAGAGGTGATAGCGTTTCGGAGATGGATTGGATTCCCGAATCACCTGAAGAGTCAGAGAATAGTGGGTCAGAAGAGGAGGAATGCAAGAAGGATAGTGATGAGGAAGATGATGAAAGCTCAATCTCTTCTAACATGAAGGGGGATAAGGATGAGGATGATAATGAGGACGGAGGAGATGATGACAGTAATGACGGGGGTGATAGTAATGACGGGGATAACCAAAGAAGTGATGGGAATAGGGGAGGTGGCAATAAGGATGGGGGGAAATGGCTGAAATAATAATTGGAACGGTGACCACCAGGGAAACAAAAGGAAGAGGGGGGATGGAGACGGTGACCGGAGAACTCTGTTTGAAAGAAGGGGTGTAAAAATCTCCTGCATAATTTGTCCGAAAAAGAGGTGCGTGGGCGGTGCGTATGTTTCTTGTCCTTTGAGGGAGGGTGGAAGTTGACAGATGTCCTTGAAATGTTCAGGAAATCCCGAGTTTGTAAAATACCCGACCAAGCTGCGGTTTATTCGAAGGAGGGATAGGGTCGATTTTGAGAAAAAACGAGTAAGAGGAGACATGGGGATTAATGGCGTAGCAGAAGGGAGCAATTTTCTAGTTGAGGCATGCGCAAAGCGAAGAAGAGTATTTATTTCTGAGTGTGGAGTTATTGGGGGAGCAGAGCCTGAGGGCTACTCTATATGGAGTAGTAGATATCCAAAGAATAAAAGGGTCTTTCCACTTTAGTCTGGGCATTTATTCAGGTTAGATAGTTCCTTTAGTCTATTGGTGGATCCATTTTATTCTCTATCTTTCCCCAAATGGACCCCTACTTTGATCCAGTTCTTATTCTCACTCTCAGTTAAGTAGTTTGTACCATCCAAATACCTGAATATTCCATTTATAAATACTATCTTTCCTAATATAAAAGCCGATGACTTTCCCCTTAAAGACACTTTCCCTTTCCTTAATAATTTAGTCCTCCTTCATACAATTGCCTTTTTCTTTTATCCTCTTCTATACTACCAAAGGCTACCAACCACACTGGACGTGCGGTTTTTACGCTTTTTAGCCATGGAAAATTATTAATCTTTGGCGGAATCCTGTTTAATGATGACTCGTCTTCGGAATTTCTATCCGTGGCCTCTTCGCCATCAATCTTTGGAGAAAATGACAAGTTGGAAAGTCTAGTCTTTGAAAATAGCGAGCAACTTCCACTTTCTAGCCCAAAGAATCACTCTGGAGATCTAGTGCCTGACTCTCCACTGCTTAGTTTTGCACAAGAGTTACTAGATCTGGGTCTTTCAAGTAGTGACAGTGGAAGTGAAGCCCAAGAGTCAGCCCAACAAGAGACTGGCCCAGATTTGTTAAAAGGGGAAGCTTCTAGCAGCAAACTTTTCCAGCCAAGTGATGAGCTAGGTAAGGTGATTGAACCTTTTTTAATTCCTATTGTTGAGCTGGACCCAATAACCTCCCCAAAGCCCAATGAAAAGCCTTCTGAATAGCCCAATGAAAAACCCCTTACAAAGCCCAGTAAGGAGTCAAAGAGCCCAGAAAAAATCCTGCCGAACATAAAACTCATTGCTGAAGAATACCCGAACTCACCGAATACTCCGGTAACACCAAAAGCTACCGTATTCGTTAACTCTCCACCCATTCAACCTCTATCGGATCTTGTAGTGGCCCAGATGAAGCGGATCCGTGACTTAAACATGAATCCAGCCCATGTTGAATTGGAGGAAGCGCTGAGTTGCCCAAACAAGACATCTCTTAGTTTGGACAAAGGAAAGGGAATTATTCTGAGCCCACTGAGCCCAGATCGGCCCAAGCCTGCGTTCAATGTATCTATCAGCCCTGAGATTGTTGAGGTTAGCTCTGAATCAGAGGAAATTGTGGGAAACTTTGATCTAAATGAAATCCCAAGCGTGGAGGAGGAAGAAGTTAGTCGGGGGACTGGCGAGACAAGAAGAAAGAGGAAGAAGACTAATATGCACAGCAAGGGGAAGGGGATCAAGCTAGGTCTTTTGGACGGATATAGCATTGAGTCATCGGAAGACCTTCTGGATGGGTTTAGTCAAGCGAAGAAGCTGTTCAAGGGAAAGGCTGGAAATGAAGGTAAAGGATGGAGATTCCAATTGCCGAGGGGGAGTCGCTACTTCTGTGGTTGTATTAGAGGCTCGGTGGCTGGCCCACAACAGCCACGGGGAGACAAATGAAGCTCTGGAGTTGGAATTGCAGAGGGCTAGGCAACAAGGAAGCCTCTGCAATTCCTTTTATTAGTAGTATGTGTAATAAGTTTAACTTAGATGTCTGTTTTCTTTCTGAAACCAAGTGTAGTACTAGTAGCCTTATTCCTATCTTTTCTAGAATGGGGTTTAAGGATCATTTTGGGGTAGATGCTTCGGCAGAAGCTTCGGGGGGGATGTTTTTGTGTTGGGCTTGTAATCTAATAGTAGTGTCTTCTTCTCCCAGCACTATTTGTTGTGAAGTGCGGGATGAACTTAACAATGATATATATGTCCCATTTGTGTATGGCTTGCCTTATTTGGAGCAGAGAAGGGATGTCTGGAATTCTTTAGAAGAGTTCCTAAGTTCCCATGAGGGACTTCATTTACTAGTGGGTGATTTTAATCAAGTGGAATGGAGCAATAAAAAACGAGGGGGGAGTAATTCGATCAGGGGAGCGCTTGATTTCACGAGATGGAGGCTAAGCCATGGACTTATGGAGATTCCGTATAAAGGAGTGGAATTCACCTGGACAAATAATAGATTAGGGGAGGATAATGTTATGGAAAGGCTGGACAGAGCCTATTGTAACTTGGCATTTAGAGATCAGTTCCCGGAAGTTTTGCTATGGAATCTCCCCATTTTTATTTCTGATCATGGCCTTAAAGTCCTTGATTCAAAGCCGCGGAGAATTGAAAGGAGCAACATGCCGTATAAGGTAGAAGCGTGGTCCCTGAATTTTTCGGAAGTAAGGCAGGAAATAGAAGATAGTTGGAGAGTGGAGGCTGGAGGCTCGAGGATGTACTCTTTGCAACAAAAAATAAAGAATTCTCTAAACAAGGTGAAAAAATGGTGTTTGGACTACAGGGATGTGCATAGGATAAACTGGGAGCGAATTCAAAATTCCCTCATAGAGGCTCAATAGTTAGAAGTGTCAGAAGACAACATTAAGCAAGAGAAGAACTTGAGAAATAGGCTGGAGCAGGAAGTGGTGGTGAAAAACTTGTTCGGGAAGCAGCGCGCAAAGAGTAGGTGGGATCAGATGGAAGATAGGACAACGTCGTTTTTCTTCAGAGCAGTCAAGGGGAGAAAACTGAGAAATGAAATTAGAGCAATTCAGCTTAATGAAGACAACTGGAGTTGGGATCCCATGGTTATCAAACAAGAATTTGTGAACCACTTCAAAACCATCTATTGCGGGGGTACTATTTAGGATGCAGGCACGAATTCAGTAGACTTACATCAGGATAGGGAGTGGTTTCAACATATGCCGCAGCTCTCAGATTCCCATGTGAGGCACTTGAATGAAGATTTTTCCATGGAGGAGGTGAGGAAAGCAGTCTTCGATATGAAGCCGCTAAAGGCCCCGGGTTCAGATAGGTGCCCCCCCAGTAATGTTTCAGAAGTGTTGGAACACAATGGGGGCCGACATTTTCGCAGCAGTGTAGAGTTTCTTTAATGGGGGCTACATACTTAAGGAGTGGAATAAAACTTTTATCTGCTTAGTCCTAAAGGAGGAGAACGCAAGCAGGGTAGAGCTCTTCAGGCCTATTGGTTTGTGTAATACCATTTATAAAGTGATCTCAAAATGCTTGGTGAACAGACTGAAGCCTATTTTGGGTGAGTTCATTGGTGAATTCCATAATGCGTTTTTTCTAGGAAGACTCATCACGGATAGCGCGATGATGGGGCATGAACTGATACAATGTATAAAAGGGAGAAGGAAGAAGGATGGGATCTTTGCAGGGCTCATGAAGGAAAATCTAAATAAATCCTATGACAAGATCCGGTGGGACTTCATCAACTCCATACTAAGACAAATGGCTTTCCCAGAAAGATGGATTCAATGGATAGACCAGTGCATAACTACGGTCAGGTATACTGTTTTGGTGAATGTAGACCAGACTGAATGGTTTTCCCCTAGTGCAGGGCTTTGACAGGGAGACCCCTTATCACCATACCTTTTCATCCTCTATATGGAAGTCTTATCCAGAAGACTGGTATGGCTGCAGAATCAAAGAAGAATTGTTGGACTTAGAGCTGCAAGAAGAAGCCCGGAGATCTCTCACTTGTTCTTTGCTGATGATGCCCTGCTTTTCTTTAGGCCAGGTCCGGAGGTGTGTAAGGAGCTGCGTCTAGCGCTGGATGACTTTTGCAGAATCTCAGGGGAAGTAGTCAGTGCAAGGAAGTCCTTTGTTATGTTTAGCCCGAATACTCCATCAACCTTTGTCAGAATCCTCAAAAAATCATTGGGAATGACGAGTAAAAATGTATTTGGAAATTATTTAGGGTGTTCGATGGAGGTGGATGCGAGGAATCTCTCACAGTTCAGTGGACTAGTGGAAAAGATGGCACAGAAAATGCTCTCGTGGAAATACTACTCTTTGTCGCAAGCCGGGAGACTGATCTTGATAAATTCCATCCTGGTGGCTATGTCATCACATATCCTAGCCCTGTATCTGCTGCCGAAAAAAATCTTAGGAAGAATAAGCTCACTCTGCTTGAGATTTTTCTGGGCAGGAGCGAAGGATAAAAGGCCAATTTACTGGGTTAAGAAAGACCTCCTTGAGAAAAAAAAATCGGAAGGAGGTCTGGGTATGCGGAATGTGGAGAACTTCAATCGGGCTTTGCTAGCAAAACAGGTATGGAGGATTCATAGACAGAGGGACCTGTTGGTGAGTAAAGTTCTCATTGGAAAATATGGAGGCTCGCCAATAGAGAAGGCAGTCATAGGAAGGGAACCGCGGAAGTGTTCATGGTCCTTCAGGGGAATGGTTAAATCAGCGAGTCGAATGAAAGCAGCTTTGTGACATAAGGTGGGGCATGGAAAGAATGTGTGGATTGAACGTGACAAGTGGACAAGCTCAGGACGAATCTCTTTCAAGCCAGGCACTAGTACAGAGGATAGAAAAAGGTTCAGAAAGGTGCTGGATCTCTTGAATGAGAGAGGAGAATGGAGAGTGAGGGAGATCTTGAATTTGTTCAGTTGTGAGGATGCAAAGAGGATTCTAAGTACTACCCCGAGTGTAAGGGGAGAGGATGAGATACTATGGGGGGAGACGGGCAATGGGGAGTACACTGTTAAATCTGGTTATAACTAGCTGATGGGTGGGATAGGTGATGAGGGAAGGAGTAAGTTCTGGAAGGAATATTGGAAGCTGACAGTCAAACCATCCTGGTTGTTACTTGGTTAGAAAATTATTTAGGGGGCTTGTAGTAATAAGGTAGGACTTCAAAGGAGGGGACTGAGTGTAAACCCTTTATGTGTACTTTGCAACTTGGAACAGGAAACTACAGAGCATCTTTTCAGGGATTGTCAGGTAACTGGGAGAATTTGGGCATGTAGTCCGCTGGGAATAAGAACCCAGGGAGAAAGGCTCAGTATTGAGAAATGGTTTGGGAATCTTGTGGGGTATGCTATGAAGTCCAAGCTCTCTAATCCCTTACTTGCAGGATCATTACTGGCAGTTACATGGAGCATATGGGTTTTCAGAAATGATATCATTTTCAGGGGAGGGGTTTGCGCGCCCTCCAGGCTAATGGAGATGTGTAGAGAAAACATAGCTACGGTATGCATAGACCAAAGGGTGAAAGTAGACAACCCTCAAGGAAAATCTGGTTAATGTGCAGGAAAGGAGGCTCTGAACTACTGTCAAAGAGGGACGCATGATTCAAGCCAAGTGGTTATTGTTACTGTGGATGGGGCGTGGAAAAAGAGGAGTGGAAAGGCTAGATGAAGCAGCAGTAGGATGGCTGGTGGAGAAGGATGGGGTAGTGATTGGGGAAGGTTGTAAGCGGGTTGTAGGGTCATCAGCTCTGCAGTGCGAAATGCTAGCTATTAAGGAGGGGATGTTAGCATGCATCCTAGTCTGAGGATGCCCAGATCGAGATCAGGACAGACAACAAGCTAGCGGTTATGGCCACTAGAGATCATCTTTTAGCTCCAAAAGATCTGAGAAACCTGGCTCAAGATATCATTTCTTTTAGTCTTCGCTTTCCTTATGTATGTTGTTGCTATGTACCACGGAATGTAACTACCAAGGCCCATGACCTAGCTATTAAAGCTAGGAAAGGGGGGTAGGAGTCACTCTTTGAGTGGGGTTCTCTTTGTTTCCCAGCTGTCAAAAAAAAAATCATGGGATCATATTCTTTACTTTTAGCTTAATTTTATACTACATATATGCTGCAATGTAATTTGTATTTCAATGGATCAAATACATTGCATTAAAAGTTCTTCTTTCCCCTAAAGAGGGCTTTGGGTAAGGCTATGGGCTAAGCCTATGAGCTTTAGAATTGCACAGGCCCAATCCATCACCAATGCTAGACAGCCCCGGTCCTGAGATTTAATGGGCCCTAGGCAAAACAATAGAAAAGGCCCCTATAATATTTCGTATTTTATATTTTGTATATGTTTTTATTTTTTTTAATGCTGATTCACTTACAAATAATTAACTTTAATTTTGCAGTTTTTTTTTATCCAATGTGTTTCATTAGCATTTTAAATTGCAAATTAACGCTATATAACTACAAGATCAAAAAATTTATTGATGAAATAAATTAAAGTATATTCATTTGTCAATGAACAATATCACACTGCATATGGGAGTTGACTAAACTTATAATTTCATAAAGTAGTCATAATTATCTAAATTCAACAGAGTAAGGATTTAGCTAAAGTTAGAATAGTTAAAAGTATGACATATAAATGTTAATCATGATGTGAGGTTTATATGCTAATATTAAAACATACAAATAAACAGAAATAATTCTATATGGAGCTCACTAAAGAAGAAGGCTAGAGATTATTAAAAGCTTAATTTTCGTTTGACTTATGCTTGAAAGGTAATTAAACTTTAGAAAAAAAAATTCTAAAACTTACCTAATGGAATGAAAGAGGTAGCAATGCAAATCCAATTAGCCACTTTAGTAAAGTAGTAAACACTTAGCAGATGCATATAATCAAATGGGTGGTTGCTCAACCTAATGAGTTTCGATTAAGAATTACAGATTTATTAACATGTGAATTGATATTTTAGTTAGAATATGTTTAATCAGTTTTACTCAAGAAGAAATAATATCGGGTGTTTGGGTGTAAACTATATCAACTAATCAAGAACTCCATAGCTTTTAATTATTTTGGTTAAAACCAATAATTTTCATTGAACGAGGTTAAACTTTGCATATTCCTAGAAAAAGGTGAAGCGTTTAAAATGAATTAAGACCTTTTTTCTTTCTTTAGTCTTATTTACATTAATACTTGTTCTAAAAAAAAAATTACATTAATACTTCGTATTTCGTATTGCTTAATGCTTGTGGAAAACTTTCTTACCAAAATTAAATAACAGGGAAAAAAAATGGGCCCCATCCTTGGCTGGGCCCTAGGCACTCCTCGCCTACCCTCAGGGCCGGCACTGATGCTAGAGTGGGTGGCCTACTACAAATTTTTACCTACACCCTTATGTAGGTAGCATTACCTGCACCCCCCTCTTCAGCATAAAGACGTCATCTTATAAACTTTCGATTTCGAATCATATGTAAAATGTTCATTTTAGTATATATAAATGTTAATTTTGTAGATATAAGTGTCCAGTTTTATATCTAAGAGTTTTTCATTTTTTTTTTTGGTAAGACAAATTTGAGAGATTTTGATAGCTTAGGAGTGAGAAAATGAAGAGAGAAAGGGATAAAATTATGAGGAGAGAGAAATTTAAAATATTGGTATAATTATGAGTTAAGAGTACAAGTAGGTACTCAATTCTTCAATTTTTCACCTTTTAGGTACTCAATTTTTTTTGCTCACTTTTTAGGCACTCAAACTTATTTTCAGGCTAATTAACTCACCACTAACCATACCTAATTTTAAAAATAATTTTAATAAAAAACAATATATAATTAATTTTTCTGTTGAAGCATTCAAAAAGCAGCAAAACAGAATCAATCCAGTTTTCTTATCCTAAATTCATCATCAACGATTTTCCCGAAATAAAAAAAATAAAAAAAATTCAGAACAGCTGCTGCTTCTTCAAGATCTTCCCCTCTGTACTGCAGTCCAGTTGAAGCAAAAACTCCCCTGTTTTACTTCGCAAAACACATACATTAACTAAACCCTTGCGCATAATCCATCAACAACAATCAAACAAAATCCATCAACAACACTATCATAATCCATCAACAAACAACAACACAACAACAAATTATGTCTCAAAAAACAACAAACAACATCATCAATTTCGTTCACAAAACCCACAAAACCATAAACCCTAACTCGCAAAATAAGATCATCAATTGGCCAAAAAATTCGAAACTTATATCAAAATAACAACAAAAAACAATGAGTAATGAAGGTTACCTCAAAAAAATGGCTACACTAAGTGTTGTTTTCCCCAAATTTGCCCAAAGGAATGCTTGTGTTCTTCACCAAATGCGCAGCTATTTTCCAGAATTGGAAAGAATAAAGAGGAATAAAGGGAACATAAGAATAAGAAAAGGGTCGGGGAATAAAATTTTGACCTGCGCTTTTTAATTCGGGTGGGTCGAATTTGGGTGGGCCCCACTTAGAGTTAACCCAAGGTACTGAATTGTTTACCAAGGGTACTCAATTCTTAAGGAGAATTAATTTTTTTTGCCGGAATTTGGTACTCAGTATCCAAACGGTGAAGAAAATAAATTCAGTACCTAAACGGTGAAAAATTATAGAATTGAGTACCCAAATTTGTGCTTAACTCATAAAATTATAGGGAAATTGATTTATAAGAGGAGAGAGAAAAGGTGAAAATACCTACACTAGGATGTAGGTATAGGTTGTATAGTGTATGTGGGGAGGGAGGTGTAGGTAATAATACCTACACTAGAATGTAGGTATTAATAACTATGCAGCTAAAATAATTGTACGCACCCTATAAAATGAACAATTAGTAAAAAAAAAAAATGAACACGT